CCTGGTTCCACTACTTCAGTTCCTCTGACTAGCTTCGTTGTTACCACTCCCAGCTTCACTGTCACCACCCCACGCCTCGCCGTCGCCGCCCCTCCTACTTTTACTACCGCTCGAGAAACCTCCGCTGAGCCGAGCTACGACAGGCCTCGTCGCGACTTTGTGTGCGTCCCAGAGCGGATCCGCAAATGGGGCTTACAATTTGATGGGTACTCCGACCCATTGGCCTTCATCGAACAGGTCGAAAGTCGGGCCTTGTCCTATGGAATCGACCTAGGACTCCTTCCTCGAGCCATGGCGGAACTGCTGACGAGCAGGGCCGACAAGTGGTTTCAAACCAGCCGCCTCCAAGAGGCTGATTGGGTTACATTCCGACGGGAATTCCTCGAGTTTTTCCTCCCGCCCAGGTACCTCCAGCGCTTGGACGACCGAATCCGGAGTCGCGAGCAGCTAGGAGAAGAAACTTTCAAAGATTATATGCTCGACCTTCGCGTTCTCATGCGCCACGCGGGCTATACCGAGATTCAGGAGCTCGACCGCCTGTACGAGAATATCGCACCCGACTATCAGATGTACATTCGGCGCAGCGAGTTCCAAACAATTGGGGAGCTGGCCCAACTGGCAACCGAATTCGAGGCCGTCAGGCGACGCAGCGTAGGGCGATCCCAAGCAATGTCAACGCCTCCGAGCAGTCCCTCCTTCCGTCCGCCTCCCCACAGTGGGGGTCAAACATTTTCTCCCGGATGCACCGGATCAAACGACATTCCGCGGACGCCAGGTCAGGTACGGCCACCCGCGCCCGTGCGAGTAAACCGGGTAGCGACACCAGATCGCCGCATCAACGTGCGGTATGCGTGCCGAAATTGCGGGGATTCCGGGCATTTCAGCCGCGAATGCCGGAACCCTCGGCTATACTTTTACTGGGACTGCGGACGACGCGATGTTCGCACCGTAGAGTGCTGTCGTCGACCCCAGCCGGGAAACGGAGTGGGTCCCCACGACCGGCGGAGTCCGTAGGGGACCAATCCCGCAACGAACACCTTGTAAACGCGCCGCTAAGAATCGAGAGAGGGAGGATCGCCGCAGAAGTCGAGATCGGTGGCCATCTACGCCTGGCCACCATCGACACTGGCGCATCGAAGAGCTTCATCAGCCAGGAAGTCGCCAACCTAGTTGGCCAACGACACCAGTTTCAGGAGATCCGCACCCAAATTAACTTGGCCGACACCTCGCGAGTCGAGGTTCGACAACTCCTGCGTGCCGATATCACCCTCGCTCTGAAGACCATCCAGGTGCCCCTCTTCGTCATGCCGGCTATGTTGGAACCCCTGATCCTGGGCATGGATTTCCTGGCCACGATCGGCACCACCATCCAGTGCGGGACGGCCAAACTCATCCTGTCGAGACGACGGCCGGAAGAGCGGGACATGAGGCCACCCAGAGACGCGAGACGCAGCATACATACCACGGACACCACGGACTCTCGAACCACCGAACCACCCAACCCACGGGGCCCAGCCGGATCCGAGCTGAGCGAGGAAGCACCGCCTGCTCGCCAGGAAGAGCCCCGCCTGGGCATCGCCGACCATTGCCCAGAGACACACAGGAATACTAACGCCGGAGAGCAACACGAGAATTTCACGGAGACACACAGGAATACTAACGCCGGAGAGCAACACGAGAATTTCACGGAGATACACAGGAATACTAACGCCGGAGAGCAACACGAGAATTTCACGGAGATACACAGGAATACTAACGCCGGAGAGCACCACGAGATACACGGAAATACTAACGCCGGAGAGCACCACGAGATACACGGGAATATTAACGCCGGAGAGCACCACGAGATACACGGGAATATTAACGCCGGAGAGCAATACAACAAACACACAGAGACACACGGGAGCCCCGACGCGGGCACACAGGGAAGACACACAGAGACACACGAGATCATAAACACCGAGGACAAGCACACAGACACAAGGACACACACCCCGAGACACCTGAGGAGAATCTCGAAAGCGCCCCCGAGGCCACCAACGCAGGAACACCCGAGCATTACCGCCTCGAGACTCAGGAGCCCACCAACGAGGAACAAGACCCTCGTATCCAAGCGTTCTTACTCGAGCAGCTGGTCCAGTTCGAGGGAATGACCGGAGTGGCCAATATCGCCGAGCATAGGATTACCATGCGATACGATCGGCCCATCAAGCAGCGGTATTTCCCAAAGAACCCAGCTATGCAGAAGATCATCGACGAGCAGGTGGACGCCCTCCTTGATCAGAATTGCATCGAGCCATCGCGCAGTCCGCACAGCGCTCCCTTGGTCCTGGTCAGGAAAAAGACTGGACAATGGCGCATGTGCGTAGATTATCGCCAGCTAAATGCCAAGTCGATCCCCGACGCGTATCCACTGCCGCGTATCAACCATATCCTTGAGCGGCTTCGAAATGCAAAGTATATTTCCACCCTGGATTTGCGCAATGGCTATTGGCAGATTCCAATGGAAGCAGGCAGTCGGGCGTGCACCGCCTTTTCGGTCCCGGGCCGTGGCCTTTTTCAGTGGCGAGTCATGCCTTTTGGGCTCCATTCGGCTCCAGCCACCTTCCAGCGAGCGCTCGACAGCGTGATCGGGCCGGATTTGGATCCTCATGCCTTCGCTTATCTCGACGACATAATTGTCATCGGTGCCAGCCTCGAAGAGCATATGGAAAATCTGCGGAGAGTTTTCAAGCGCCTCAGGAGGGCGAACTTGCGGATAAACCAAGATAAATGTTCCTTCTTCAAACGGAAATTGGTTTATCTCGGCCACGTCATTAGCAACCAGGGCATTCACACGGACCCTGAAAAGGTAGCCGCCGTGCGGAACCTAAGTCCACCCACGAGCCTGCGAGAATTACGCCGATGCCTAGGCATGGCCTCATGGTATAGGAGGTTCGTACCGAATTTCGCGTCTGTTGTTCAGCCCATGACGAACTTGCTGCGCAAAAACCAGCGGTGGAAGTGGGAGCAAGAACAACAGACAGCCTTCGAGCTCCTCAAAAGTTTACTAACGGATGCTCCGGTGCTGGCATGTCCAGACTTTTCCGTCAAGATGACGCTCCAGACCGACGCGAGTAACTATGGACTCGGAGGTGTGCTGACGCAAGAAATAGAGGGGCAAGAACGGGTCATCGCATACGTGAGTCGGAAGCTAGACGCGGCCGAACTCAATTATTCTCCTACGGAAAAGGAATGCCTAGCCATCGTCTGGGGAATTCGTAAACTACGATGCTACCTCGAGGGCTATCGCTTCGACGTGATCACAGACCACTTGGCCCTGAAATGGTTAGATCAAATTGAGAACCCGACTGGAAGGATCGCCAGGTGGGCCTTAGAACTTCAACAGTACCAATACGATGTCCACTATCGCCACGGGAAATATAACGTGGTCGCCGATGCCCTATCCCGGCAACCACTGGAGCACCTCCAGCGACTAATGCCAGACGAACGCTTGTGCAAATGGCTGAAACGAAAACTCACGGAAGTTCAGGACGACCCCCAGCGATTTCCCGATTATGTCATCGAAAACGGAGAGCTGTATCGACACCTCGGACACCGCCCAGACGACCAAGATTATATTCCTTGGAAGCTCTGCGTTGCGGCTGAGCATCGAGCACGGATTCTCCAAGAATGCCACGACGCGCCCACGGCTGGCCACTTTGGCACCCGGAAGACGATTCTGCGGATCTCACAAAAATATTACTGGCCCGGAATGTTCCGCGACGTGAAACAATACGTCCGTCAATGCGTCCTCTGCCAGAAATATAAAGCAGAGCAAAAGGCACAAGCAGGAAGGATGCTGACGAGACAGGTCGATGAACCCTTCGGCATCGTATGTGCAGACTGCGTGGGACCACTACCGCGCTCCAAGGCAGGAAACACAATGCTGCTGGTCTTCTTCGATAGTTTCACCAAGAGGGTGGAATTAGTCCCATTACGAAAAGCAACCACCGCCACGCTGATACAAGCGTTCCGCGAAAGAATCATTGGGAGGTTTGGAGCCCCAAAGAAACTGGTGTGCGACAATGGCACCCAATTCACCAGCAAGGCCTTCAGAGGATTCCTTAAGGAGATGGGCGTAGAACTTCAATACACGGCCCCCTATTGTCCACGCGAGAACCCCACGGAGCGGGCGAACCGCACAGTCAAGACCATGATCTCTCAGTACGTCGGCAGCGATCAAAATACGTGGGATCAGCTGATACCTGAGCTGAGTCTCGCCATCAATACCAGCGTTTCGGAGACCACAGGGTACAGCCCGGCTTTCCTGGTACAGGCGCGAGAGCCGCGGTTACCAGGCTCATGGTACGATCAAGTAACACCGGGAGCAGGCGTCGCTCCGAGACCCCTGCCGACCGAGCTGAACGACTGAAGGAAATTTTCCAGATCGTCCAGACAAACATCCAGAAGGCCAGCCGCGACCAAGGACGGCAGTACGACCTCAGGCGTCGAGCATGGAGGCCCACCATCGGCTCCCTGGTCCTCGTGCGCCAACATCACCTATCCAAAGCAGTGGGCGGGTTCGCTGCCAAACTCGCACCCAAGTTCGACGGGCCATACAAAGTGGTCGCCCTTCCGTCCCCAAACATAGCCCGAATCCGCTTGCCCGGGAAAAGAAAGGGCCGCCTTGCCAATATCGCCGACTTAAAAGAGTTCCATTCTTTTCTTCCCACAGGTGATGCAGACACCGACGACGACGCCATGTCGGAGGACAACGCCGGTGTTCAACCCGGGTCCGACAAGCCACGGTCACCCGACCGCGATATCAGCGAGGGGTGAATTTAAGCAGCCCACTAAGTTTTCTAACCCTAAGACCATTGTTAGCAATTAGATTAACCTTAGAACTTTGCCTACTACTGCCCGTTAGGACATTAACATTTAAGTATCCGTTAGCTTAAGTTTGGATAGTTCTCTTTCTCCCATAGACGTATCTACGCGCGTGCCACGAGCTAACCAGGATGGAGCCCATCACAATCGACTCCAGCGACGACGAGAGCACGGCTCCCGATGGAGCTTACGACAGGCCAACGACCGGCCGCGACCCCCGGCTACGCCCTGGCACATACTACGCCGGCAGACCCACAAGAGCCTGCCCAACCGGGATCCGACAGACTCGAGGCCCTACCCGAGCCCCGTCGCCCCCGATGCAGCCAACTACGGCCAGAGCGCCACCGCGCCGGGCCACGCCGCACCCGATGTCCGAGTCTTCGGACGAGTCTCCTTCAGCCTCGCCAACACGGCGCGCCGCGCCACCAACGCCTTCACTACCCTCGGGCCGCTCCCGAGCCCCGTCGCCCCCGATGCAGCCAACTACGGCCAGAGCGCCACCGCGCCGGGCCACGCCGCACCCGATGTCCGAGTCTTCGGACGAGTCCCCCTCAACATCGCCACCACGGCGCGCCGCGCCACCAACGCCTCCACGACCCTCGAGCCGCTCGACCTCCCCGTACTACACGGACAGGACTGGACGCAGGATCCCCTGCTCTCAAGCTCCGCCGTCGGGACCCTACCAAGGTTATCCCAACCCGGATGCGCCGGGCCACTCCCGGTGGTTCTACAACCCGGGCCCGCCAAATCCGGACGCGCCGGGTCACTCGCGTTGGTTCTACAACCCGGGCCCCGCTCCAGGATACCCAGACCCGACCGCTGCTGCCCCACCCCCTGAAGGGCGTTACAGCAATTGCAGCCCTCGCCAGCAGGACCCGGGGTCAGATGAGGACGACGACGAGGAGGGAGACTCTCGATCCCCCAGTCCGGCTGCCCCGGCACACGACGAGGACTACGTGCTGGAGGACGTCACCGACAGCGACGCCACCCCTCCGTACCCCGGATACCACGGGGAGGAAGCCAGTGAGCAGGACGATGACGACGCGCAAACAATCAGCAGCGACAGCGAGCCAGACGATGGTGCCCCCTCGGCAGCCCACTATCAATGGGAAGGAGAGGAACGGTACGGGTTCTGGCGGGGATCGTGGATCCAGCTAATCCACGCCCGTTACACCTCCACCCTCATCGAGGCACCCTTCCGGCCGACTCCTGACCCAATCATCACCTTTCCCCCGTCACCGGAGAGGCTGTGTATAATGGCCCCGGACGAGGACTGGGAGATGGACATGGGGAACACACCCGAGGTCCGTCCGCCGTCGCCAGCACTGGGGGAAGATGCGGCCCTACCCATCTTCCCCGGCGACCGGGCAGGTGACAACGCGCCATTGACGTCAACGAACAAACAAGCGCTCCACATCAACCAGACATACGACGACGCACCATTGGCGTCCACGAGCCAACAAGCGCTCCGCAACCAGACATACGACGACGCACCATTGGCATCCACGAGCCAACAAGCGCTCCGCAACCAGACATACGACGACACACCGCTAGCATCCTCGAGCCAAGGCTCGATCCCCACCGCCAGCGAGACCACCGAGCAGGGCTACCAGCCCACCGGGAAGGCTATGCAGTGGGAGTCGGAGTCCAGTGATAGCGAAACCGAGACGGGACAGAAGTTCCGCCGCAAAGAGGCGCAACCACGACCACCGCCGAACATTGCTGTGCCAAACCATCGATCCTCGGCCCACCGCCGCGGGATAGCCACCGCAAGGAACGCGCCGCCCAACGCTGCCGAGACCAACCGCCGAGCAGCAAACCATAGCCGCTCAACTACCCACGAGGAGGTCACTCCCCCAGCCACCCCACGTGTCGGTTTCGGAGATCGCGGGTTCGATCTCTCTCCGGGCACGATGGATATACTCATGGAGGAGCTCGAGCCGGGTGTAGAAGGTCTGCTACAGGAGTTAATCCCAGACTGGGACCCGAAGGCACCTTCGACAGCGCCAGTCCCTGCGGCCACCACCGCCGACGAGGTTCCACCTCCAGCTCCGCATTTCCCGCGCCCAGTCCCTGCGGCCACCACCACCGACGAGGTTCCACATCCGGCGCCACGCTTTGCTCGTCGAGCCCATACGGAAGATGACTTCACCACCGACGACCCAGCGCCTGAGCGAGTCGCCATACCAGCCGCCTGGTGGACTAACACGCACGACCAACGAGTTCCACTGGCGGTTTGGCAGGCGATAGAGCGCCGGAGCCATGCCGCACAGTACTCCCGTCAGCGCTTCCGCGTCCGCACGCAGGAAGGCCCATATCAGGTCACCATGAAAACGACAGGAGAGGTCCAGATCCGTTTCGGCCGGGCGGAGTAAGAAGGGAGTGTGACGCCTCTATTCTACAGGCGCACAACATTTTTGCTATAAATTAATAATTAGATAATAAGTATATCGATATTCCCCCCTATTATATAATCATTAGGATTAAGACGGCACTGGAGCCACACAAAAATCTCATTAATTAAACGTTTAAGTTGGCATTGAAGCCTTAACAGACGCAGACTTGAAGTATACTAAAAGTAAAAATAGTTAATTTAAAAATATTAAGCTAAGTTCGGCACCTTAGAAGTCGCCGAACCGGGAAAATGATCGACTAGTCGAACTAAATCAAATCGCGTCGAACTGGTTCGAACCACCAGTTCTCAAAAGCTGTGACAGCTCGCGGCTTCCGGGATTCGCTCTCTTCCGTCGAAACTTCGCACCGAGGCAGACGTGCCCATCGCCGCGTCTCCGCGACCAAGTCGGAAACCCAAGTGCATCGTGTCCTCGCTGACGACCGCGACGTGCGCGACCACGCAGAGACATCGGCTACAAGAGCCCACGCATTCGCGCAGATAAATTTCACCAGACAACGACCGCGATCGGCAGCCCCACGCCCGCAGACACGTGGGCTAGATTCGCAAGTTACAGGAGTCAATTCTGTAAGGCAGTAGTAGGACTCACACTTAGATAACCCAATAATCAATAAACTAACAATCGAACCTACCCGTAATAGTATTTCCTTGGTAGTATTGGTCACGGTTTTCAGGTTCCCCGATCTCTGTCCCGCTGGCGGCCCCAAAATACTGCGTTTCGGCATTTCCATTCGCACGTGTTTTACGGCCATCCAGCCTCCCATCGATCCTCTCCCGCGTCCACAGCCGCAGCGTCACGCCAGCACAGGCCCCTTTCCGTGCACAGCGTGCCGCCGCGACTGGAGGACACCTGCTCCTCTGCCCCGCGCCGCTAGGAATCCTCTCCCGTGCTCCCCGCCACAGCGTCACGTCAGCACAGGCTCTTTCCGTGCCCCGCGTGCCGCCGCGACTGGAGGACACCTGCTCCTCTGCCCTCGCTCAGTTAGGAATCCTTTCCCGTGCCCACAGCCGCAGCGTCACGCCAGCACAGGTCCATTCCGTGCACAGCGTGCCGCCGCGACTGGAGGATACCTGCTCCTCCACCCACGCCCAGCTTAGGAATCCTCTGTCGCAACTACAGTCGTAGCGCCACGCCAGCACCGGCTCTTCCGTGCACTGCGCGCCGCCGCGACTGGAGTACACATACTCCTCCGTCCACGCACAGTTTAGGACCCTCTGTCATACCTGCTGCCGCAGCGCCACGCCAGCACAGGCTCCTTCCGTGCTCAACGTGCCGCCGCGACTGGAGGAGACGTGCTCCTCTGCCTTCGCCCCACTAGGGACCCCCTTCTTGTGCCCGTAGCCGTCGCGCCACCAACGCTGGTTTCCCGCGTACTGTGTACCGCCACGACTACGAGTGCATCCGCGTCCGTATCCACTCCTAGAGTAGGGACACTCCGACACACGCTGCCGCCACGCCTGCATTGGCCATTCCGCACACCGTGCATCACCACGGTGACACGAGAATCTCTGCCTGACCGACCCGTAGCCAGCCTCCGTGCCCAGCCGGAGTTGACTAACACCTCTCTGACGTCCTGGCCATTCCCTCGACCCACGTCGCCCGAATTCTGGGCGAGACCAACCAAATCCCGCCAGGAGTCCACCGGAGTTGCCACTCCGCGCACCGGCGAAAGCAGTACAAACAAGCAGTAGGCGCAAGCAGTGTCTAAAGCAGTTCGCGACGAGCAGCTTTCTGTCAGGGACCGACCGATCAAGCAGATCGACGAGTCGGTAAAAGCAGCGCGGCGACCGGCCATTGACAAGCAGCGCGTGTGCCCCGCCTGCTCCTAGAGCATCTCGTGACCACCTCGTCTGGCAGTCACGTTGCCGACCCTCGGGGATCAGAACTTAGTGCGCGTAAATTCGCAACCCGGGTCCCGCACGCTGTTATAATAAATTCCTATAAATATTTCCGTCCCCTCTAAATAAATTTCTTGAAGAGGATCCCTGGTCACGACTGGGATCTATCCCGGCCGGAGAGATTCGTTACAAGTTTGCGTAGAAACGGTCAGACGGACGGACAGACGGACATGGCTAGATAAAATCGGCTGTTGATGCTGATCAAGAATATATATACTTTATAGGATCGGAAACGTCTCCTTCACTGCGTTGTAAACTTCTGACTGAAATTATAATACCCTGCAAGGGTATAAAAAATCCTTTGTTCAAAGACAAACCAGACACATACACTAACAGAAAAACTTTGGTTTTTTGATTTCCTATAAACATTGACGGAGATATCCTGCCTACCGCAAGGATATAATTTCTTATGGGGTTAAGTTCAAGCCTGCCTCAACGGCTCATTTTTTAATATTTTTTGTTCAAATTTTTACACAATGTAGTTCAAACTTTATATTTTAATGTACAATAAATTAAATTTGTGAAATTGTCGTATGATCTTTTTAAAAAATCCATGAAAATAGGCCTTTTTTAGTGCTTCCAAACTCGGATAACCCCTTAACGGCAGGGATAGCAAGGATCCGGGACAAGATGCACCGTTCAAGAATTTTTCCAAAGGCAGGAAGGAGGCTAATAGGGCGATAACTCTAGGACTCATGGATGGGCTTTCCACTTTTGTGCAGCATTACAACATTTGCCATTTTCCAGATCCTTGGGAAGTATCCAAACCTCAAGGAAGAATTTAGCAGCGGGATAAGGAAAAGCAACGCTCGGTCTGGAGAAAGCTTGACTATTCTGTTTGTAATGTCATAGGGCCAGGAGACTGGCCTCTCCTATGCACTATGGGGTTATTGTTCTGTTTTTGTGGCATTAATTAGTAACTCGGTCAGATTTAGAGATATCGACATGAAACTTTACCTATCGTCATTATTTGTCCCTAGGCACATATAGTATAAAAATTGTTCGGATCAGGAAACTATATCCTATAGCTCCCATAGAAACGATCGGGTAAAACTGAAGATAAATTAATGAAATTTAAGGAGTTTTGAACTAAATCGGATAACGCTTTCCGTAGGAACTAAAATAACTAAAATACCGAAATTCAGTGTTTTTCCATACAAACAGCAACCAAATTGGCGTTGAAAACTGTGAGGTTATCTAAGCATATACTGTTAAGTATTAACATTTTGATTATGAGCCACAAAAAGTGGTCAAAACCCCCATAGTGCTATGGTAATAGGGGAAGCGGCCAGGACATATAATGAGGAGTTGCATTTTCGACTGCCTCATTGTTTTTTGCCTTTAATGTCTGCAATGGAGTAAATCGTTTTTCCAGGGTATCTGCAAAAACTTCTGCCCTATCTAAAGGTGACCGTGCCCAAGTTCCGTCCGCCGTTTTGATTGGAAACTTCGGCGTTGCTTGACGTTTGTATCTCCCAGTCAGTCTCCAAAGGGCGAAGTTTGTGTCCTGATTAGGAGTGGCGTCAATTAGCTCTCTGGCTTGGTGGTGTAAATTCAACAGCTTACGTATCCTGTTTGCTAGTCTTCGTTGTAACCTATTGATCTTAGTATTTTGCGTGCGGATGTACTCCCTGAGTCGATGTTTCAGCCTGATTAGATCATGGATTTCATGAGAGATACTTGGATGGTTGCTGCGCTGTGACTGGTGGGCTGGCCTTGCCTAAGGCGAAGCCGCATCATCAGCCTCATTGATTTTTTTTAGAAGCAACTCTGCTGCATCATCAATGTTCTCCGCCGAGTTTATTTCCAGCTGGAGATAAATGGAACTCTCTAGGGATTTCTTGGACTTTTGTATATCTGCACCAGGAGGAAGAAGCGTACGTCTAGTAGATATAGGACATCCAGGAAATGCCAGAAGCACTAACAGCGGGAGATGTTCAGAGCTGAGATCATAGGAATCCTGGATTGAAGCCTTGGATTCCCTTCTAAACAGCAAAATCCAAGAAGGGGGGTGTTCCTCCGTTGCAAGGGAAGCAAGTGGGTCTACCAGTAGATAGAACCTGTGAATGAGATGCATTTGATGCGCTCATGAGCTCTGTGCCCCTTCTGTCTGCTCTAAAATTACCCCAAGTCCTGTGCTGCGCGTTAAACAGTATAAACCTCTCGCCGCAGCTATGTAGAAGTGCTTCAAATCTATTCGAGGACCAATGTGTCTGAGGTGAAAAATACAGAGATGCGAAGTTGATATCACCCAGCGGAGTCATTTTTCAGCAATAAGCCGAAAAAAACGGTGGCACTTCCGAATAGGATGGGTCCCTTAGAAGTCTCGGCATGGGTAGGATAAAATACATCGTGAACGGCTGCTTTTGCTGTCGTCATTTAGAGCCCAGTAATTGAAGGAATCGGGAGAAGTGGTAACTCACGTGAAGAATCAGGAAACCGTTTGGATCGATGAAGATGCTAGCCTTATCCGATGGAATCAACACATTATAGGAGAAGTTTCTTGGATTTCACGCGAGACAGCTGAGGGCGCTTGTGCAGTCACTTAATTGATGACCTTTGGCAAATCAATTTTAAATAACTGTTTTTTTAGATGTCAGACGATCAATTGTAGAAGGCATGGACATATACGCACTGGATGGTTCTCTGTTGAAGACAAATCGCATTTTTTGGATATTGTAACAATATTCGTTCTAAAAAAATTTTTTGTACTCGTGGTGGCACGTTGGAGGCTGTCGATTTGGACGGATAGAGGCGTAACTTAGGAGGTTAAAGGGAATCTATGGAATCTATGGCGCTCGGTAAGGAACTATTTAAGTCCTAGCTACGTAGAAAGTCGAATTTACGGAATAGAACGGATTTATATTATGGATTTTCTTTCATAATAGGATCGTCAGTTTTGAAAGCTCTGTGGAGCACAAATAGACCAGGAGACAATCCCAATTATCAGTAGCAAGGCCAGACATTTCTAGGGAAGTAAGGCAATTCTAAATAGTACTTTGAAGCTCTTTTAAGGCTGCTGAAGATTCGTGTACGATAGTTCGCATGTCCAATAATTTTTTT